AGAGAGAGAGAGAGAGAGAGAGAGGCTGAATGGCAAAATTGAAATATGGGTCAAATTGCGGCCGCGATCTATTTCGCAGTTGGAATGATTTTTTTTAATTTATTTAGCGTTTTTCCTGGAAAGATTACAACAAAATCTACGAGTACTCCAATTTTCAGGTTTTTTCATGGATTCTTCTGAGAGTGAAAACTCACTGAATTTGAGTACTTTTTAAGTTGGCCCACACATGGCTGAGTGGCAAAAATGGAAAATGTGCCCAATCGGCGTGACGATTATTTCTCGGTCTAAATGATTTTTTTTTAAATGTTTTAATATTTTTCCTAGAAAGAACACGACCTCATATATGGATTCTCAAAATTTCAGATTTTTCTGCGGGTTCCTCTGAGCACAGAAAATCGCCAAAGGTGCCTCTTGCAAAACGCACGTTTCGTTGCGCCTGACCTCCCTGTTTTGTTTTGAGAAGACGGGCCTCAACGCCTGGGCCTGAGGGCCCTTACCCCACCCCCACTTGTTTTGGGGGTCCACTTCCACCGGAGGACCGGTCCTTGCTTTTTCCAAAAGTCCCAGTCATTCCAGAGCTACCTGTAGGTAGTCCCCAATTTTGCCAAGGACCGGTCCTCCCCAAACTTTTGCCCCTTAAAAACCCACTTTGCGTCGTGGTCGCCCACCGCCGAAAATGCGACACCTTGACGCAGACGCCTAAGCCCACTATATCGCAGCCTTAGGGTTGCGAATTGAATTTACCTGGGATGGTTAGTCCGATGATAATCCCTCAAGGCCATCGCCTTAAAAAAAAAAAAAAAAAAAAAAGATGTTCCCCCTTCCGCTACCCATCTCCAAAGTTCCAGTATGCTGAAAGATGTTCCTCTACCGTTACCCAGTTCCAAAGTTCTAGTATGCCCCTACTGGGAGGGCCCTCCGGTGCCAAGGCAACAATCTGTGCCAAGGCTAGGGGGACCCAAGGGGAAGAGGGAGCAAAGATGATGTGCTGGAGCCAATGGATACTACTAAGTGCCTGAAACTGTGTGGAAGGGTCCACAATTCCGAGGCCACCACCGGCCTTAGGTTGGATAATCGATTCCCAAGCAACCCGACTAATGGTGTGGGAATTGTCACAGTCCCCTCTCCAGAGAAAGGCTGCTAGCTGACGCTTGAGGGCCCTGAGCCCACTTTTACTCATGGGCCACAAGATAGCCTTGTACCAGAGGGTGGCTAGGACGACGTTGTTAATGATCAGGGATCGTCCGAAGATTAAAGTATGTTTATGGTTCCAACTAGCTAGTTTAGCTTGGGCCGGCCTTCCTAGCCAATCATCGTTAGTATCTGGCTTACCTTTGGCCATAATCGAGGCTCCTAAAACTCTGAGAGGGCAATCAAGAGGAAGCCACTTAATTCGCGGGTCCTCATGGGGCCTTCCCCCTTGGTGGTGCATTCACCAACCAACAGTCTTTTGTCCCCCTCCCGAGATCGACCCCTTGTATGGTTGGAGGACAGGTATTGGAGGTTACCAAAAAATATAGGAATGGGGACCTGGCAGATGAACACTGGATACGTCTCCTTTGTACATGGAGGAAACTCCCAATACCGGACCGTGCAATGCCAAGAAGGTGGGAGGAAGTATTTAGGCAACCCCTGTTCGGTAACAGGTTAATTACAGACTCCCTGGGTCAAGTAAGATGTTGCTCGGACCCCCCGTGGAAGGGTTGGGTGAAACACGGAATTAGGAAGGTGGGGGACCTGTGGGATAAAGACTCAGGGGAGTGGAAAAAAGTCAATAGAATGCACGGGTGCCTGAGGTACTCTCATCTCACGGAGTCAGCGCTAGATAGTTTGATTGAGATTTTCCGCTTCAGTGGTATATCACAGTTAAGAAAGGTCCCTCCCTTGTGGAGGGGGACTAGGTCGGTCTACCGGGTCATGGCACTCAGGTAGGCAGGGTACACCTAGTAGTCGATCACGTACAAGTACTGATTGAGTTTTTTTCCCCCTCCAAGAACGGCCAGCTATTGGGGAGCCGACTCCCTTTCATCTGGAAGGAGAAAAATGAAGTTTATTGCATCAGAGTGTTAGAAGAGGCAAATGGATGGAGAGCATACCGACCAATGACCCCGATTGAAGACCTCCCCTTTGACCCCGAGGAGTGGACTTGGACGCAAAAAGGTCCACGAGTGTCGGTTAGGAAAGGGAGAACGGTATCAGTAGCATTAGCCAACTTAAAGACTAAATTGGTGTATCACATGCTTAGACCTAGACCTAAACGCGGGCTTAGAGACGTGGTAGAGGACAGGTGGCATTGT